CTTAAAGCTGTCAAAAGCTTTTATCAATTAAAGTTGTTAGATTTATGGAAGATACACCAAACATTCATAAATAAATAGGAATTAATGATTTAGGCCTCGAATTTGAGGCTCGAATTTGCCTCGAAATCATTTTTTTTTTTCTTCTTCTTCTTCGCAGAACCAGAGGGGAGGGGAGGGGAAGAAGAAAGAGAGGAAGGGGAGGGGAGGGGGTCCGGATTCGCCGAAGACTCGCCGTTGCAGCTCGTCGAGCTCGCCAGCCGTCCGATCGTCGCCCGATCCAGCTCGTCGCAGCAGCTGCACCGCCGTCGCCTCCGCCTCCGCCTCCTCCTCCTCCTCCCCCGGTGATTATGGCCCCCTCCAGTCCGGCCCACCGGCGGCTCCCTCTTCTTCTCCCTTCCTCTCTCTCTTCTTCCCCTCCCCTCCCCTCTGGTTCTGTTCGAACGAGGAAGAAGAAAAGAAAAAAAAAAAAACCAAAAACACCCCCAAAACGACGTCGTTTTGGGGGCTGCTGGGATTTGAGCCAAATTCGAGGCCTCGAATTCGAGGCCTCTATCACGACTGAATAAATAGGTGTTGGTAAAAATTATTCATTCTCCCATGGCAAATTTAAATGATATTTTAATTTAAATATTATTGGTTGAAACAATAAATTTTACTATTTATTTATCTTTTTTGAGAAGATAACTAAATACTTGTGCAAATATAAATGATGTAGAATAATATTTCTAAAACAATAAATAACTTTTGATTGGTAAAAAAACGTGAAGATAACAAAATTCATTCTATTTATTTTTTAACCGATAACAAAATTTTTCATGCTTTATGAAGCTTTCTATTTATTTTTTAACTGACAATAAAATTTTTCATGCTTATAAAAGCTTCCAATACCTTAAAGCTGTCAAAAGCTTCCATCAATTAAAGTTGTTAGACAGCATATTTGAATGTTGTAGCTAAAGAACAATAGGAGAAGTTATCGGTTGGGTGGTTTACGGATATTGTCTGGTGTTACTACGAGTTTGAGAAAATGAGACCCATCTCTTTTCTGTCAGATTTTAGGAGATAAGATAAGAGATGGTAAATTATGAATGTTAGACCATCTCTAACGGTTAAGCAAAACCATCACCAAATTTGAATTTGGTGAAAAAAAGTAACTTTTTTGGCTCTAACAGTTTCATCAAACTGATATCAAAATGAGAATCGTCCAAAAATTTCACCAAATTGAGAAGCTAGACAGATTTCACCAAAAGACTGTGCATTTACGTTGGAGGTGGGTCCCATCGAACGACCGGTCAAACGTCCTCTCAGATGACCACCTCAAGCAAAATTTTGTGAAAATTTTACACTAGGAGGTCGACCCCCCGGTCAACCACCTCTTTGTTTTCTTAGTAAAAAATATATATATATATATATATATATAGAGAAAGAGAGAGATCAGAACCAGGTTTTTTTTATTTTTTTACATTGACCGGTCAAGCTGCCGGTCATCCGCCCGGTCGACCAGTAGTCTGACAAAAAGCCAAATTTCTTCGTTGGAGCAGGCGATATTAAACAAAGTTTTTACTCAATTTTTTATTCAAATTTGGTGAAAAAAGTAATGCACCATTGGAGATGTCTTTACTAAAGTGAAAAAATCCAAAAAAAAAAAAAAAAAAACAAAACAAAACAAAACAAAAAATAGTGTTTCATTGCACAAAATAGTGTTCCATGGACGTGTTTCGGTCATAGTTTTCGGTCAAGGGAGTTTTCCGGCCATGGAACTTTCAGCCATAGAGTTTTTCGGTCATGGAGCATGCAACACACTTTTTGATGCGATGGAATAGTGTTGTCAGGCGTGGGTGTTGGCATTGGTTTGTGTGGGCTGTTGAAAAGAGAGTTTTGATGCTATTGGAAGTGCAGCAACATAGGTGAATACAATATTTGTGGACTGTTGAAAAGAAGTGTTATGTTGCTTTTGGGAGTGCAGCAGCATGGATGTATTTGTTATGGTTTGAAAAGAAGTGTTATATTATTGCTTTGTTTATTTAATAAAAAAATGTTTTCATGGTTATATGTATTAAAGTTGGATTGAATAATAATAATACAAAAGAACAAAACTAGAAAGAACAATAAGAGCAACAAGAAGAAGAACAAGACTGGACCAAGAACAACTTTAGAGAGATGACCCTCTCACATTTCTTGGGCATTTCTCTAACATGGTTTCCTTGACCCACAACAATGATGGAAATAGAGTAGAGAATGGTTAGATAAACGACCAGAAAGTATCATTCTCTGATAACTTAGTTGGGAACACCCTAAAATCTCTGTGTGTTGATTTCTGACCACACTGCCAAACAGGTACTTAGCTAGAGAATACCAGCAGAATAGATTGCGCCCAAACGACCTGTCATAGAAAGATGAGACTCCGGCGGTGGTTCTTCCACTCGGGGGCACTCCGACGATCAAGTCAGTACTCAATTATCTCTCAAAGATATTAAATAGTGCTTTAACTCGCTAGCCAGAATAGCGTACCTTAGACCCACAATGGTGCCTTACTTTTATAGTCAGCACTAACCTGATCCATGTAGAAGCCTAGCTTCTCTTGGATTCTGGCCCAATGCTCATCCTGGACTCTCCAATAGATAAAGATAAACTCCGTAAGTGCTTTATCCTTATCCAGGCTGAGGTCCTCCCTCATTCTAGCACTCTTATAACTTATATGTTTATCTCGGATTTCGGTATCTTCACAGATAACCTCGGCCTATTCGAGATCACCTGGCGTCATGACCAGGACACGTGGCACCTCGGCTGGCATTTCGGTGCCACCTTGGCCACATGTTGTCATTCCCAAAAATATGCCCCTACAACTGCCCCCTAGGTTCTATTACCTCGGCATCCTAAGGTGATGGAACCTATACCATTCGTTCACATAGCATGTCGGCCAGGACTTGCTTTACCCTTCATTACCGAGGTCATCATTCACCGGCTCCATAAGACTATAATGTGTTTTCTCAATGCCTTTAGAACCAAGAACCAAGTTTTTTAAGTTCTTTAACCGAGATCGCCCCCAACCCGAGGTCTTTACTTTATTAAATCAAGAACTCCAAGAGTTCCATATGCGCATCAGCTGTCACGCATGGTAACTCAATCGTTTTTCGCCACGCGTCCTTTGCTTATTGATCCATACCTGACACGCGCCATCAAGTCGCGTCACCGCTGCATGCGCCGTCTGACAAACATGTCGTCCTACCTATCTTTTCACCTTTGCATCTTCGTTTTCTCCAAGCTTTCAAGTTTTTCTCTCTCTAAAAATCCCCTTCCTCCATTGTTGTTTTCTTCGAGCTTCCTGCAACCACCCCGTTCACCTCCTCTGGTGAAGCATTCACCGCTCCATTCACCGTCGTGGTCTGAGTTCGGTGAGCCTCACACCGGCGCCATTTTCCTTGGTAAGCCACTGTTTTTCCCCCTTTTTCAGTTTTTGGCTTACTTCGAATTTTGTTACATTTGTACACTGCTTTTGTGAATGCATTTAGTCTTTGCCTATGTTTTTAAAACTTTATCATTCGTATGTTTGGGCATGTTCTGTTTTGCAATCTGAACAAGTAATCCCTCTGTAGGCCGAAGTGCCCTTTTTCTTCTTTTGAATGCAAGTATAACTTCTTCTTTTAATTGTTTGTATGTCTATATGCTTTACTGCTTCCATACTTAGAATAATTTGCATGTCTTCAATTTTATTCTTTTAGCTGTACAGTCTCCTCGGAGTAAAATACCTCGGACACAAGTTCCAACTTGTTTATCTCGGCCTTGTCTTAACACTTAAAAACATTTGTAAAGAATATTTTCACAAGTGTTATCTAAAACTTTCCACTTTACTTATTGTTTCCTATCAAGACTTCAGTCTCCAATGCTTTCCGAGCTTGGCAACCTGGTAGTCTCGGTAAGTACGTAGATACTTCTTTCAATATGACCTTGGCTTGACTTCAACTTGTAAATTTTTTCAAAAATTTCAACAAGTGTTGTCCCAAGCATCATTCTCCAGCTCTCTGTCCCCTAATGTGAACTTAAGTTTCACTTAGGTTCTCATTAAGCATGTGGCTATGACCTTGTTGCCGAAGTTATATTCAAACAAAGAGTAGCTGAGGTTCTTAAACTTGGTTCCTCTGTTAATCTTACTCAAATGCACTTAGTTTCACTCTGTGTTTGACTCTGCCGATATGGCAAGTTCAGGTTAATCCAACTTAGTTCAACTTCATTATATGGAAGTATAATTTCACCTCTGCCATATAATGAGTCTAAGTTATCCTTCATGTTTCAATCAGAAATATCGCCGACTTCGTTCAACTCTATTATATGCAAGTATAATTCAATTCTGCCATATAATAAGTCTAAGTTATTTGTCATGTTTCAATCAAAAACATCGCCAACTTAATTCAAATCTATTGTATGCAACTATAATTCAACTCTGCCATATAATAAGTCTAAGTTATTCATCATATTTCAATCAGAAACATCACCAACTTAGTTCAACTCTATTATATGCAAGTATAATTCAACTCTGTCATATAATAAGTCTAAGTTATTCGTCATGTTTCAATCAGAAACATCGCCAACTTAGTTCACATTACAACAAAAACTGGCTATAACCACGTTTTTTAGACAACGGTTTTCTAAAAAACGTTGTAGAAGAGGTAAAGTAAGATTAAAAGACACGCGTTATCCTCTTATGAACACGTGCTCCACAACGTCATCCTCAATTTCTCTTTTCGTCTATCGTTTTCTCTCTTAATTTGTCTCTATAGTTTTCTCTCTCCTTCCTAGATCTAGGGTTTTCTTTGTCTCCTCATGCTTCTTGAGAGATTCACCTGGGTTGATTCCAATTAATTATTCAGATCTAACTCTAAATCCATCGATTCTTGTATCGATTTGGTTGAAATTTCTTGACGGTTTTTTATTTTTCTTAATTCTGATTTTGATGATTTTGCAGAGGAAGATGGTTCGGTTGAGTTGCACAAATCGGCGGAGTCACGAGACCGAGAAGGGAAGAAGGATCAAGATCCTCGGGAGAGTCCTTTTTGCCTCTGTTTTCATTCTCTCTGCATGGCAAGAGTAAGCTTCTGTTTTTTTTTTTTTTTTTTTGCGCTTGTTCTTCTTCGCTCTGTGTTTATCAGATCTGCTATGTTCTAACTCTTCTCTTGTCATGTATGAGTAATTCGTTTGATGTTCTTCATTGATATGGACTTATTGGTGAGAAGATGTTAGGGTTTTGTTGCTGCTTTTAGTGAATTTTTTGGTTGCAGTGCTTGTGGCCTTAGATCTGAAAAGTTTGAGATTTTCCTTGGTAGAACATTTGATAAAATATTTGGGGTCCCTAGCATTTTTCTTTGACAAATGGCCTTAGGATGCCAATAGAGGGTTCTTGCACATTAATTATTATTTCATCTTGTCTTTCATATGTTGTACATTTATCATCCCATCTCTTTAATGATTTGTAGAGCTCTAGGAAATCTTCAGTGTTGGAGAGTGTTGTTGGAAAGGACTTTTTGCCTCGTGGATCTGGTAATAATGCTTCCACATTTTTTCTAATGTTACAACATGGTTGTAGTATATATAATTTAATATTTTCATTAACTTATAAAATCCTTTGAACTCTAGAAATAATTTGAAACTATTATATGTAGGAATTGTTACCAGACATCCTCTTGTCCTACAACTTCATAGGATTGATGAAGGAAAAGAATATGCAGAATTCATTCACCTTCCAAAAAAGAAGTTTACTGATTTGGGTATATTTCTTGTCGCAGAAGTGACATTTTTCTGGAAAATGACTTGTGTTGTTGCTACCCAGTCATGATTATTCTTTTTCTCTTGTTAAATAGCCTTGTATTTAGTGTTTACCTTGATTTTAGCAAGAGGTATTTCAAGCTAATGCCAGTCAGTATATCATCTTTGTCTAGATTTAGTCCTAATGATTGATATGCATTTATCTGGTAGTTCTGATCTTGTATATGTACCATTGATTTTCTATCTTTTAGATCTCAAATGCTAAATCCTTGGTTGTATCTTGTACAGCTGCTGTGAGGAAGGAGATCACTGATGAGACTGATCGAGAGACTGGTCGTTCAAAACAAATTTCAACTGTTCCAATTTATCTTAGTTTATATTCCCCCAATGGTGAGAAAGAGCATTGCTTGCCACACTATCTTACTCTTTCTGCACTTGACTTTTTCCCCTTGATTTATTAAAATGAAGTTTGTTTACATGTCGGTCAACCACACCTGATCGGCACACAAGACTTAGCTTGATTTTGGTATTAAGCTTTTGTCAACCCTGTTTTCTTATTCACAATTTGGACTAAAAAAATAGTTGGTTATTAAAAGTTGTGCTCCACTTACTAAATTTGTTTGATATTGAAGTTAGGGCTTTAACAAATTGTTATGCACTTCTAAGCTATTATCTCTCCTTCAATAGTTATCAAATGACTGCAGTGTGCGCATCAAAACCTCCATTTTGCTTTGCTCTTCTTTCCATTATTCCCTTGCACAGAATGTGGCATTTACCTTGGATTTTCTTTTAGTTGCTAAATGTGGTATTTATAGTTTCTTCATTTCATTAGTATGTTTGTATGGCTTTGCAGTTGTGAACCTGACACTAATTGATCTCCCTGGGCTTACAAAAGTAGTTATTGGTGAGATAGCAAATCTCAATGTTTGCATGTCTTTTCTTGTTATTATTCTGATTGTTTTGATCATTGTAGATGGCCAATCTGAAAGCATTGTGCAAGACATTGAGAATATGGTCCGGTCCTATATTGAGAAGGTAATTACTATTCAAATTCTGATTTTGTTTGCTTATGGGGATTACCTAACTCAATGAAAATATTTACTTAGATTTTTCTGAATCTCATGTGTATGTTTTGGGAAACACTGCAATTCTCCAAGAGAATTTAGTGAAGCTCAAAAGTTGTAGCAATAATGTGAAAATTTACTGTTTATGATCTTGGTAAAGTTCAACATGTCAAGTAACTAAGTTTACCTTTTATTTTAATAAATAAGATTTCCAGTTCAGAATTCTATCTGTACATTCTTCTGTATCAGAAACCTGTTACGTAACCATCTAAAATTGTCTTCATGAACCAATATATTGTGAACATTCATGTTGTTTAAATGTGGGTGTGTATATATATAATTATTTGACTCATGTTGATAATGAATGTCTAGTTGCTTAGTTTCTCTTACACGAGTTTGCTTTGTTACCAGTTTGAGGTATTGTTTTCCCTTCATCCAACTCCAGCAGTTTGTGGGTTTCCTACAGAAGAGGCACTTGTTCTAATTGTAGAAACTGGTATATGTATATTGCTATATCATTTCTGTTCTCCAAACTGTGTTTTATGGCTTGTTTACATCCGCGTGAAATTTTTAAGATGGGACATAATTCAATTCTTGGCTAAAGTTGAACAATAAAGGAAAGTATACATACTTATCTTGCCTAGACGGAATCATATATCATGATTTACACTTCCTTGTAAAGCTTATGTGTTTACTGTCCATTAGTGCGAATCGTCTAATTTGAAGTACATATAACAGTGATAAAAATTGTACTATTAGTGAATTCAATCTTTACTCTAGAACACTAGATTTAGCCTGACTAACATTGGTCATATTATCGTCCTTATGGTTTTGGTTTCACTTCCTGATGTGTTTTGGCAAAAGACCTTTGGTTTATTTTGAGTAATGATGCTCAATTCCTAATTGATGCAGCAGAGGATGGACTTGTATCAAGTCATAGACAAAGAAATTTAAAGTGGTATCTAAATTTTTACTTTGATTGAAGGAAATTCAATCAGTCTCATTCTGAAATTTCAAGTGTTACATGAATTTTTACTTTGACATAGACAAAGAAATTTAGGTCAAGTTCAACCTTCGACTTTTGCCAAAGGACTTATACCAAAAACAGGGATCCAAAGCAACTAATGGAGAAAGGAGATTTTATCTCACTGGCCTTAAGCAGTTGGGTCAGGGCCTAGTTGAGTCATCAATTAGTAAGTTCTACTACATTACTAATTACTATAGCCCTAAATTTTTTTTTTTAATTCAAGTTTATTTTATTTTAGTTTATTTATTTATTTTTGGTTTCAAAGGAATTGGAAGTGATTGAAGTTTTTCTAATTGGAATGGGGTTGCGTTCATCATTGATTTGAAATATAAGAATAATATGCTCTGGGTTCATCACTGATGCCACTCTGATTGTTAAGGACAAACTTTGATACTTTAATTCTGAATAATTTGAGTGTTATCTTTCTCTTTAATCTCCAAATGGGAGTTCTTCTTAGTGGGGAGAATTGATGAAGATCGTTAAGGCAGCAATATATACGTAGTGTTGGTGTATGAATTTTATTAGATTTTGGCATAATTGAAGTTATTAAGAATTTTTGTACCCCTCTCTCTTTCTCTCTCTCGCTCGCTCTCGAATCTCAAATGTGAGGGTCTGGAGACGGGTGATTATTTGGGCTTAATGAATGAACCTACTGTATGATTATTTGGGCTTATTCATGTTATTTGTTCTTGTCAAATGCAGGTTCACATATCAAAGAAAGGAAAGAAGAAGAAAAAGTAGATATGACAAACTCAATGAAAGAAGGCCGCTGGAGAAATTCTCTTTTGGAGCAACAATTAAAGCATTGTCTTAGGAGTTTTTGAGTTGTTTTGTGGAAAGATTGAAAGCTGGGGGAGGGGGTGGGATGGAAAACTTATGTTTGGGTCCCATATTAGTGACAGGTTGATGTAGTTGCATCTCTATTGATGGCTAATAAGAGGGAGCCTCGCCAAGCCCATAACTATTGGAAAAGGTGCTTCATATATGTGTGTGTATTTGATGGACACTACTTTTACATGTAACCTGACATATTCTATTTTTCTACATGATAAATAGAAATGTAGCCTTTAGTTTTATGTTCTTTGATTGGAAGATGACATTCAAACAAAAATTCTTTAGGAGGCCAAACTGCTATTCATTTATGTTTGGTATTTTGGTTTTGCCCAAAAAAAAAAAAAAGAAAAGAAAAAGAAAAAGTGGCGTTTTTTAAAAAATGCCACTAAATGACGTCATTATCCGTTAGTTTGTGACGGAAGTTGAAACAGATGTCAAAGATTTTGCGGCATTTAAAAAACGCCGTCTAATATTTTTAAGCGACGTTTTTCAAACGTTGCAAAGCTATTGCGGCGGCCGTATCAGCGACGAAAATATTAAACGTCACTGTAACTTTTTATGGCGTTTTTCAAGCTTTTAGCGGCGTTTTAAAAATGCCGCTAAAACTCCAATTTCCTGTAGTGTCAACTTTATTATATGCAAGTATAATTCAACTCTGCCATATAATAAGTCTAAGTTATTCATCATGTTTCAATCAGAAACATCGCCAAGGGACTGGTCAATCATATTACACAAGTTTGAAATTAAAAATCAAGCTAGAATTTTATTATTACTTCTGTTAATAACAAAAAACTTTAAAACAAAAAATCTAATGAAAGAAAAACTTCAAGTTGCAGGTGTTCAAGGGTCTTGGTAACTCTTTGCCTTCACTATCTTCAAGCCGATATGCCCCATTGCCCAGGACCGATATAATTCTATAGGGTCCCTCCCAATTTGGGCCAAGCTTACCCTCTCTGGGATCCTTCTTGTTGCCGACGACCTTTCTCAAGACGAGGTTCCCGACTTAAAACTCTCGAAGGTTGACCTTCTTATTGTAAGCCCTAGCAAGCTGCTGCTGGTGGTATGTCCCCAGCTGAATTGCTGCTTTCTCCCTTCTTTCTTCTAATAGGTCTACATCTTGGGCCAAAAATGCCTCATTAGTTCCATTCTTCACTCTCTGGGTTTTGATCCCTGAGATGCCGATTTCCAATGAGATTACTGCCTCTGTGCCATAAGCCATGGCAAATGGGGATTCCCCAGTTGATATTCTTAGCGTAGTTCAATATGTCCAAAGTACATTGGGCAACTCTTCCACTCACTTCCCCTTTGCTGCTTCCAACCTCTTCTTAATCCCATCCAAGATAGTTTTGTTGGATGCTTCTGCTTGTCCATTGCTTTGAGGGAAGCTTGGTGTGGAATAGTAGTTCTTGATTTTGTACTTTGCACAAAAGCTCTTGATTAGCTTACTGTCAAACTGCGTACCATTGTCTGCTATTATCGCCCTTGGGATCCCAAACCTGGTGATAATGTTCTTCTATATAAAGTTCTTTACATCAATGTCCCGAATCTTTGCAAGGGGTTCAGCTTCTATCCACTTGGTGAAGTAATCTGTTGCCACTAGCAGGAACTTCCTTTGTCCAGTCGCTTGATGCAGTTGTGAACAAGATCCATGCCCCACTGGGCAAATGGCCAAGGGCTGGACACTGGGTTTAAATCCGCTGCTGGTTGGTGTATCAAAGGTGCAAACCTCTGACACTTCTTACACTTTTTGACATAAGCTTCAGCATCTTTCTACATATAGGGCCACCAGTACGCTTGAGTAATGGCCCTATGAGCAAGTGACCTACCCCCAGCGTGGTTTTCACATACTCCTTCGTGTATTTCATACAGAAAGTCTTCAACTTGTGAAGGATGCACACACCTCAAAAGGGGACCAATAAAAGATCTTCTGTAGAGATGTCCTTCTGCTGTTAGACTGAATCTTGCCGACTGCAATCTGTTCTTGTGTGTTTTTTTATGATCAT